CTCTCTCTCTCTCTCTCTCTCTCTTTCTTTCTCTCATAAGTGTACAAAACAGTAGTATGTGCGGAGCTGTGGTTTGGGCAATCCTCCACCAACGTATTTTTGAACATAGTTTACTTAAAGCCTTTGCACTTCTCTCAAACCTTTTGACTTATTGTCAGGAATAAACCAGAAGTCAGAGACCCCATCACCTAGATAACCTCACTGCTCCAATTGTGGAGCATAAAATCATACTGCACGAAAACCAAAAAGGAAACATGACATAGATTTATAGAAATATTAAAGGAGCTAGAAAAAGCAGGATAAACCAAAGAAACCTTTCAAGTACCTCTTGGAGTAAAGACTTAAAACTTTTTTTAAAATTTCAGGAGGGTGGGGGGGGGAGTGGGGGGTAACAGATGCGTCGCATTGAAGCTCTTGCGTAACCCGTGAAGATTTAAGTCACCTATTATAACAGATGGGTTTGTATCTTACTACATTTCGTCAGCAAACAGTTAAAATATCCTACGCCTTAACATTCTTTTTTCAGGAAATATTTTGTTACTGTTTCATTCCTTTTTAACAATTATTCCTACTTCATATGCCTTTTCTCGCTTTTAAAAAAAATTAACATTCAGATTCTCAATTTTGATCAAATATTTCTCGAGCAAAAATGCAATCGATACCACAGAATTGCCATAAAGAAAGAAAATCAAATCAAAACTTTGGGCTTAGGACATTTTAACAGCTGCTTGACGTTTTGCTCATATCCCAACAGGGCCTCTGAGCACACATAACGTGCAATTCCTTCCGTCTACGCTTGTCTGTATGTCTGTGACTTCTGACACGTATCAAACTACTTTAGCGCTGTCGATTACTTACAAAACATTTGTCTGTCAAGGTCAAGGGATTTCAAGAATGTCATAAATCATAATTCAGAGCAGTGACTAACGTGTAAAAAAAGGAACGATCCACTTATCATCCTCCACGCGCGCTTCTACACGCACTTGTTTTGGCCCCTGTTCAGGTATTCTGAGAAAATTCTCAAACCAATTGCGTCGTTCGTGGATTTATCTTTCAGTCAAGTTTTATTTACTTTTTACTTCTGTGCTGTAGATATTTCTATGATTATTTTGTCACGTAGCCAATCTGTAGCCCCGTTACGATACAGGATATAACAGTGACTGCTTTATTGATTCAAGAACAAGAGCAGACAGTATTGTAGGAGTACAATGCAACATTTACCAACGAAACCAGCGGTCAGAGAGTAGAACATGTATAGAATGAAGTATTGCGTGACGAGAAAAGGGAACCGTCTTTTAGGGAGACGAAGGGTATGATGATGTACGTTTCTGATAAAGCAAAAGAAAAAGTGCATGACAAAGCAGAGAATCAATATAAGAAATATCGTGTTGTGGAAGGTGACAGTATGTATATATTATTCAATACTCCACGAAAGTGGGCTCAAGGGGTGATCAATGATCGCCGAAATCTCTCTCTCTCTCTCTCTCTCTCTCTCTCTCTCTCTCTCTCT